TGCAACAAAAGTATACGTCCCATGAAACAGTCCGAAAAAGAATTATTCGCGAATGGCAACTTACTACTGTAACAACGCCAAGTGTACCAAATTAATTCCTTCGTGTGTGGATATTTTGGAAGGCAACTCCCCTTCGGAAACCTTACCTTTTGCTTCTGTCAATTTGGCTCGATGAGGTTAAAGTTTCTCAATCACCAACAACGTCAGGAAATGCAGACATGGTCATTAAAGGAATACAGGAGATTTTAATCCTTACAAGTAAGAGGTTCAAAGAAAATAATGACTAGTTTAAGTTCCAACTGTACACTCTATTTAAAAGGAATGTTTTTTTTAACTTTATTCTGATTCTCAAATGAATTTCAAACCTTCACAACCTATATTACTTAATCAGTGAATAGTTGTAACAAAAAGCGTAGGAGACATCATTACAACAAGTGAAAAACAAGTGAAAACTAGTTGCAGTAATAATATCGTTTCCAAACATATTTATTGTTGCGGATTGTACTGCTACTAAATTTTGATAACTTGTGACGAATAATCTGATGTATTTGGGACTATTGGTGTGTCACGTGACGAATGGTTCATTTAAATGAAATGACAAATGCTACATCACATTGTGACGAATGTTTCTTGTGATGTGACGATTGTTTTATCTCAGCCCCTGTGACGAATAATTTGTAGCAATATTTGTCGTCACATGACGATGCAGTTTAACAGTGTAGTCGATATGTCTCTGACCAGCCGCTGCTGCCGGTGCTCCTCTGGTGCCTGGCCGCGGATGCCCGGGGGGCGCGGCGGCGGCGGTGCGGCCGATGCGCGGTGCAGCAGGTCATCAAAGGCCTCTTCATGTTGGGCCGGGCGGGGCGGGCCAGGCCAGACTCACAGGAATTAATTAGCCATGCCCTACCTGCCCCCGGCCGCCCCCGGCACCCGGTGGGTGCAGGTGAGGGGGTGTGTGCGGCGGGGGAACGCGCTGCGGCATCCGATCAACGAGGTCCAATCGGCTGACTTTTTAAAAGTCTGTTTCGTTTTTCCTCGTCGAGTATAAGGAATCGAAAAACAACAAACAAAAAACTGATGAAATAATGTCATTGGTATGGCCGGGCCGTCAGATCAGAGCCGAGCCGGACGGGCAGCGGCCAGTAGGCCTATTCTGTAAGCGTTCGGATCGGCTTCGGAACCACGATTCCGAGCGACTTTCCGATTGCCGTCGTTTCGGTATTCACGAAGACCCGCGATCGTCATTTGTCGTCGGAACCCACTCGGAACTTTTCCGAATCGGTTCCACGGGCCTCTCGAGCTTGGGAAGCAAGATTCCGATTGGGAAACAAGTGTCACAAATATCTGAGTAAGTATTGGATTTATCGCACATAAAACAGTTAGAGCAAATTTAAAACTTCGAAGCCATAGTACAGTGCTAGGGTACCTTACGGATGTGTTTAATTCAAGAATATATATATATTATTAGCGCAGCACCGTTGTTGTATGTTGGTCTAGGTTATGGACGCTACTGCTTGTGCAGTAAACACTTCAATTTTATTGGAAATTATTTCTAGTTAACAGGGAGTTGACAAGGTTATTACGATCTAATGTATAAGTATCACTGGCTGGCATATATGTGGTGTTTTGAAAATATCTTGTTTAGGCTTGCAACTCAAGTACATGTCAAAGGCTTGTTGACATTTGGTTTTGCTGTCAAGTTGTTTTATCTGTTTACCTTTGGCCTAAGTAACCATTGTTGACTGGAGTTACTTCATCCTTTTCTGTTTACAGGTGAGTGTATCTATTCACTATGGACCACCTGATCCTACGCATCAGACTAATACGAGCTCGTGAAAGGAGACATCAAATTCGAATCAATTTAGCTCGCATCAAGAAGCGCACTCTCAGGGACACATCAGATCCATTTGGAGTTACAGAAGCCGATTTTCGTCAACATTATCGTCTTCCCAAAATATTAGCTAGGAGGCTGATCGATGAATTAGAGCCATACATGCGCCAACCACAGCGAGCATCAGCGATACCAGTGCATTTAAAAGTAAGGCCTTACTCTATCCCTCATTTAATTGTCTAATAAAATTAAAAGCTTAACCTAAATTTGATCATCTTTCCTTTTTAGGTCTTGTGTACTTTGCATTTCTTTGCTAATGGTAACTTTCAAAAACCAAACGGGAGAAACTACGATCTGGCCATGTCTCAACCATCTGTAAGCCGTGCCATAGATGAAGTTGTGAATGTGATGAACAGACTTGAGATACTTCAAGCTCACATTAAGTTTCCTAGAGAAGAGGCTGCTAGGAGAGAGGTCATCCATAAGTAAGTTGCTTACATGTTCCCTGGGCCTATTTTTAGCTACCTGTCTTGTTTGCCTCATTTAATTTCTCTTCTTTGTAGGAACTGGCTGGCTTCACGTCTAAGAGGGGTGGTGGGATATGTTGATGGAACTCATGTTGCCATTAAGAGACCTACTGAAAGGGAAGATGTGTTTGTAAACAGAAAAGGTTATCATTCAATGAATGTGCAAATTGTGAGTGTTATAACAAATTACGTGGATTTTTACTGAATCATTTACTTTTTCCTCAATCAATAATTCTTTTACCTTCACAGACCTGTGACTCTGATCTCGTCATTCTGAATGTTGTTGCCCAATTTCCGGGATGTAGTCATGATTCTTATATCTGGGCTGGATGTAGTATTCGTCGAAGAATGGAAGCAATTTACAATAATGGACAAGGACAATTGTGCTGGCTATTAGGTTAGTGACATTTAAAATACAAGAGATATTCTTAGATGGGTCCCAATAAATTTTACGTGTACTGAATGCATTATACTGTTTTGTTTAACAGGAGACTCGGGCTACCCTGAGGAACCATGGCTGCACACTCCTTTGGTTGATGCTTTACCAAATACAAAGGAGAGGGTCTACACAGACTTGCACTGTTCAGCAAGGAATGCTGTTGAGCGCTGTATTGGGGTCTTGAAAGGAAGATTCATGTGTTTATCAAAAATACGGGCTCTGGAATATCACCATGTTAAAGTGTCAAAAATAGTAAATGCTTGCTGTGTCTTGCACAATATTTGTGTGGAAGCGCGGCTCCCAGACCCAGACCCAGTGGAAGATGATTTGGAGGATGCTGGTAATGAAGCTCTCTCAGATGATGAACATGATGAAGATGTAGTGCGAGAGGTTGATGGGGGCAGGAGAAGGGTGAGAAGACAGTTATTAGTAGAGGGACAAAGGATACGGCAGCGTTACCTCATTGATTGTCAAGTTGTTCCTGAGCAGCCATAATGGTAGCAAACGCTGAGACACCGTGTGAAAAGCAAATGCTTTGTAGTATGAGATCTGAGGACCTAACTGCTCTTGCTTCCACTTTGATTCAGTCTAGGTGTTCAGATTCTTTGAGTAAGAAGTCAATGAAAATTTGTCTGTGATAGCACTAGTCTTAAAGAAACTATTTTAGATTGCTGAGAGTATGTGGTTAAAGTTAAAAAGTTTATAGTAATTATTAAATCATTTTAATTGAAGGAGGCATTAATTATTTTTTAGTAGCATCAAATGCTTTAAAAAGCAGCTCACTTACTGCAAAATGAGTGAAAAGTTTATAGTATATCATTTTAATTGAAGGAGGCCTTGATTATTTTACTTATGCATAAAATGCTTAATAAGTAGCTAATTTACTGCAAACTGGATTTTTTAAGTCAGCTCACTTGCAGACTCACTTTTGTTGACTCATTATTCAGTGAAGAATTTAATCACAAAGTGTTTCAAACTGTGGTAAAGCTGAGCCAGAAGGGTGACTAAAAGTAAGGAATCAATAAACAGGTCTATTTATAATACTTTGTTTTAATAAAAAAAACTTCCTCAGGCCACAATATGCCACTCCATCATTAGAGGCTACAAACAGTGTAACACCAATTTCAAACAAAACATAAGTTTGATAAAAACGCCAAGATCACCATGCTGTAATGTAACACTCCCGTATATGAAGCTCATGCTCTTGGAGCATGTATGAGAAAAAAATAAAAAAAATAAAAATACATACTAATTTGGTCCACAGCCACAAGTCCAATACTATGGCACACATCTCAATAGGCATCAGGTACACAGAACTAAGTCTATTCTTTGATTAGAAATACTTAATACTAAGTACTTCAATACATACACTTAAGCTGCTCCATCATGTGCTCTTACAAAACTAACAACAGGATTTAAAAAAAATTCTGTAACAGTCTTTTAAAACTAGAATAAATTGTTTCAAAAAAGGAACTGCATAATTTAAGTAATAATTACTTATACTAGCATCAGACTTTGGTTAACACTAACTAAATAATAGTAATAAAATATAAAATACCTAAGTTATTTAAAAGCTACGATAAACGTTTCAATACTTCTGTTAGAACAGCTGTCTGAGCCTTCTGCTGTTCTAAGAGAGCACCCTGTAATTCCACGAGCCTCTCTAGCGAATTGGCCAAAGATGCAAGAGCATCAGCTGATTTGTTGTTAACAGCAAGATGAGCAACCAAATGCTCATTCTCGACAACCCTGTCCTCGTCCAACTCCATCTCCTTCCTAAACCTCTTCCTAGTCTGCTTGCGCAGATCAGAATCCAACCTCTTGTTTGGTTTTTTCGCAGTTGACACAGGTGTTGATGTTGACTTCGAGGCAGTGACAAGTTGAAGGAGGGTTGAAGGTTGTAGAGCACCATCCTCGAGCTCGATCGACACCATCCCCCCACTATCAATTAAACTCAGGGTCGTGTCCGCTGCAACTTCCTCATCACCTTCAATCTCTATGGCGGATTGTTCTTGTGAAACCTGTTCCCAACAAATGTCAAAATATTAAACTTGGCGACCACTTTATATGTCAAACGTGCATTCAAAATGAATAACAGAGGCTTACTATATCATCATCAGGGTCCTGCGTCGCATTTCCCTCAGCAGCAGTTTTTGAAAGTAGTTGATTTATGCATATTTGCTCTAAATCCGAAATATTTTTCATGGGTATTTTATTACCAGTGGCAGCTTTGGCCATGATGTTGTGTTGGTTTTTTGATTTACATTCGCTCTTCCAATCGGTGTAACACTAAGGAACAAGACAATACCATTCAGTTCTGTTGAGCTGTTTCTAATGCGAAGTATTAAAATTTAATTCACAACTCTCACCTTCATCCACAGCTGCCATGTTTTAGTAGCCCCTGGCATGGCGTTGAGGATGCTGGTTAATTTCTCCCAAGTTTCCACCTTCGCTTTCTCATTGTGGGCGCAGTGGAAGTTGCCCGTGTTGCACCCAGGATGTTCTAAGATAAATTGGACCATCGCCCTTCGCTGGTCCGTTGTAATGTTTTTTGGCTCCTTCCCATTTCCTTTCTTTCTTCCAGCCATCTTCAATTAATAATCCTGAAAATAATTTCAGAATTATGTGAAATTAACCTCCAGCCATTTATGAATGGGAACCTAACCAAATTACTTCATCATGATAATGATACATTAGCACAGCACTCAGAGGCGCAGCCGTTGACCGGCCGCTTTGAATCGGCCGCGGTGATTCAATCTCACCTGCCGAAGCCTGCGCCCCTGCGCACCTGCGCTATAAAATCACGTGACCTACCTTACGCAATCAAAACGATGAGGACTTTATCAATGTAACATGTAACGCGCCAGAATGCCGGGCGGGCGCGTTCCTCTCTTCTTTCACGGCAGCGGTCACTTTGGTCACTCTTCTCTGATTGGCTGTTGCTGAGGTTACTTGCTTTGGCTATGCACGGCCGATTTCCGAATCGCTGATCCGATCGTGCTTCCGAGCGGCCCTTTCCGAAGTGCCTTCGTGAATACGAACCTCTCGAGCACTCGGAATTGAGGCACTCGGAACCGTCCTCATTCCGATTCGGATCGGAACCGAGTCCCCTCTTACAGAATAGGCCTACAGGACGGACGGCCCCGGGACTTGTTATCTCGGCTGCTGACATGGGCCGTGAGCACATTCTAGCAGTGCTCCGCCCAGGCAGGCTCCGCCGTACTCGGTGACGGGTGTCATGTGAGTCCCGGCGCAAGGACACGTGTATGAGCATGAGGGCGGGCGGGGGCCGGCCGGACCGCCGGGCCGGGCTGCGGCTAGGGTGACCGCAGCGACACCTAAGGGTGCCCGCCATGGAGGCTGCTATAGGGTGACCCGCTCCTGCCTGGAACCCTGCTGCAAAAAACGCGCTCGTGCCTAGCGGTCTGTTGATTGTCTTTTGTCCATAAGCTCTGCAAAATTGCGCCGTTTGACAACTGGCCGCGCCTCGTGGGCTGTGCTCCAACCGCCCTCGGGCACCGCACCTGCTGCATCCCGGCCACCACTGCCGTGGCCAAAGCAGCAGGTGATCTTGCAGGGCTCTGTCTGTATCCTAGGTCCCCGAGTAGTGATGGCTTCCGCCTACCACCGCCACGCCTCCGCGGGTGCAGGGCCGGGCCGGGCAGGGCGCATCCACATTGCGGCACGACGGCGACGCCCAGAGTCGCTGCTCGGCCTACTGAGAGAGGAATCGTCCTCAAAGTCACGCCCGTTTTACTCTTATTTATTCGGTAAACAATTACGGGAGCTGGGCGCCTGCGAGGCTCGAGGTAGGCCACCCCGCAGAACACGCATGCACTGCAGGCGAGATGTTGCCTACCACTTCGGGGCTATATGAAAGCTTTGCACAGGATCGTTCGTAACGGCGCATTAACAGACGTACTTTCTGGATGATCCCTTGGGGGGCTGCACGCACATACATTGCGTTATCGCACAGAACTTGGCTGCACTTCTGTTGACCCCGGCGGGAGGGTAGAGGAATCTGCTCACTGTTGCGGCCGCATAGCAGCGCCCCGGATGCGGCCGACACGAACGAAGCTGCTCCCGCCGCTGCTGTGGGGCGCGGTGCCGCGGCCGGCGCCATAGCACAGGACCCGCGCACCTGATGCATGCGCCTCTTTTCGTGCTGCGGAACGCCGCGCCACCTTCTTTGCTCTCTCTCTCTCTCTCTCCGCTCTCTCTCTCCGCTCTCTCTCTCTCTGTCTCTGTTGCACTTCCTCTCGCTCTCTCACTCCCGCTCTATCGGGCACGCCGTAAGGAATAAAGTACTGGGGGCTGACGTTTATATGCAAAGCACCCTGCGAGCCGCCACGCCACGCCAGGCCACGCCACGCCGCGGGGCACGGCCGGGCAGCGCCAGCGGATCACTCGCAATGAAATGGTGTCGTGCTCTATTTGCAGGCGAAGGCGCTGTAAATAACGCCGCTCCGGGATGGATTGAATGTAAACGTCAGCCTAATGCGCGCCCCCTGGCGGCCGCGACGGGGAGGAGGAGGAGGGGGGGGGACAGGATTAGGCAACGCCAGCCTGTCACGCGACACGTCGCGGACACGTCGCTCCCGCTGCCCGGCGGTGCGGAAGCACAGGGTGCCCCGCCCCACCGCGCCCTCTTGCTTGTTTCTGCTCTATTCATGGGGACGTGTCGTAATAATATGATTAATTTTTTTTTACGCTTTGCTCGTTTTTGTCAAAACGCAAGGTAATGACGCAAATCAGGCTGGTGCGGTGGTGGACCATAGCTGTGGGTGCTGGCTGCGGGGCCAGCCTCGCCCTGCAGCGCGCCGCGTCCACTTACCCGCCGGCTGATTGCGACATCAAACGGCCTGCGAGGGGTTGATCCGCGGCGGTGCGGGGCGGTGCGGGGCTGGGCGGCCACCGCGCGCCGCTCACCCGTTGGTGGCCAAAGCGTTTCTCTGTCGGCCCGGACCGGACCGGCCCGCCCGCGCCCGCCCGTGTCGCTCCAAACACACGCGTGTGCACACAACAGATGTGGTACACGCGCCCGTCAGATGCGTGCGGCCGTGCGAGGCTAATTTGTCGGGACTTTTCGCCGATCGATGGTCGAGCGCGTGCGGCCGGGCCGGGAGGCGCTCTCGGAGAGCTAGTACGTATAGCGCGGACCACCGTCTCCTGGGAAGGAGAAGGAGCTATGGGCATGGAGTTGCCGTCCGATCGCTGTATCGTGACACGCACTACCACTGACATTTCACTTTCGCTGATCTGGAAAATTACTAATGAAACGGATTCTTCATAACCAACCGGCCCCTGTGGCCAGGGCAGCGGGGTGTTCCTTGGCCTGCTTGTGTGTGTCTTTGTGTGTGCCTGCGTGTGTGTGTGTATTCCGGTCCAACGGGAGTTGCCTGCTTTTTATCTGCCTTACAGGTGTCCAGGGCGAGCGGAGTGGCTAAGCCGTGATTCGCTTTGCCCATGCGCATACGTGCACCGGCACACACACATACACACATTCACACACGTGCACTGCGCAGGGCCCTGGGCGCTCTGTGCGCTTCACATCACAACGTTCACGCGCGCACTCGACCGTGGAATCGCCCCCCTCCCCCTTTCTCTCTCTCTCTCTCTCTCTCTTTCTCTGTCCCTCTCACACTTGCTGTTTCTAGCGCTCGCCTGTTAGAGCGAAAATACCCGGCGCGCGCTGCTCCACACGTCACACGCCTTCCGATGACATTTTCGTTAAATTCGATGAAAGGGTTGTGTTGTTGTTGTTGTGCAGCTGGTGAGCGAAAGCCCAACGATGAGCTGAGCTGTTGCACGGACGGACTGCCGCTGAAAGATCTGTAATTGCACTGCGAGCCTCTGATTGGTTCGCCCCGCGCCGCCACGCCCCGCCACGCCCCACCACGCCCCTGGACCCATCAGGAGCACGTGATACTCCTCTAATCAAAGGCAGATGGAGAGAGATGGAGAGAGAGGGAGAGAGAGAGGCGTCTGCACCCCCTCCTCCTCCTCCTCCTCCTCCTCCTCCTCCTCCTCCT